TATATATATATGTATACATATACACATACACACTACTACTACTACTGATTTATTTATAAAGCACTTTAAAACAACCACCGCTGCAACAAAGTGCTGTACATGTAAACTCAAAAAAACATTTGATCATATAAAACAAATAATAAAAACAGTTTAAACAGTACAATCAAGAAAAGCAATAACAGCAGTAGTACAAATAAACCAAAGCAAGTCTCAGTCCGTGCCAAAAGCTAAGGAATAAAGGCACCTCCATGAGCAGCTGATCAGCTGATCTGAGGCACCGAGCAGGAGAGTACAGGTGAAGTAGGATGGGGTAAGAACATTTTAACTAAAAAAAATAAAATAAATCTCCAAATGAAGTCTAATATGAACAGGTAAATACTGCATTTTTGCTCAGGTCCGCACTCTTTTAGGTAATACGTCTCAAGTTAAAAGTCATGTGACCTCAGGTGAGCTCCAACCTCCGTATACCAGTAATTGATTTTCTTTTCTTTTTCTTCTTTTGGCTTCTCCCTTCTTCATGGGTCGCCACACTAAAGTAAGTCACACAAAGACTTCCCCTTTTTATTTTTTATACTGGATGGCCTTCCTGACACAACCACAGACCACCAAGCTACCACAGCCCTCTGTGTGGAGCAAAGAGCTGCCATCCAGGGAGTCCAGAGGAGCAGATGATCGGGGGTTAAGGTTCTTGCTCAGGGGCCCAGAGTGGGACAAGTGAGGGTGGAGGCAGGTGTGGGCGCTTTACCTTTCCCTCCCACATTTTGATGTTGTCGGTACTAGGGAGTTGAACCAGCGATGTTCCGATCACAGGCCCACCTTCTCTAACCTCTGCGCCACCACTCCCGTATAATCTCCGTATAATTGAAATGACTGTTAAAAAAAACCTAACGTTGCCTCCTACTTTGGATTTAAAATTCAATCTAATACAAATGATCTGTTGACATTTTATGAACAATACTTCTGTGCACAGCAAAAACAGGATCCATTCAGACAAAATTACAACTGAACACGATCAGTAGTTAAAGTTAACAAATAAAACGTCAGCTGCTAAAAATAGAAATAAACGGGTTTATAGAGATTAATTAGTAAGTGCTATGTGTTGTCATTCCCATACAATTAGTTCTTTGCATTTAATCCATCGAATCTGGGATACACCCAGGTGGAGCAGTGGGCAGCTATGTAAAAGTACAGCTGTAAAAATGTAAGCTGCCCGGGGGCTGTTAGGGATTAGGTGTCTTGCTCAGAGACACCACGATATGTGGGAATGGTTGGGGATCAAACCTGGGACTTTCAGGTCCCAGGTCGGCTGCTCATCTCAGCCCCAGTTGACAGAAGTTCTAGGTGTTTTGCCTTTTTTAATTTCTTACGGGACAAATTGCCATGCTGGAAAAAGTTACATTTTCTTTGCACAGCTCAGTGATTAATGAGTGAAGCTTTAACTCCTAACAGCATTACTAGAAAAATATGGGTGGATCTGTATTAGCGTCAGTTTAACACATCAGCTTCTATCAATGACCGTTTTCTTGTTTTGTTTTGTTTTGTTAGTTTGTTTCCAGTGAAGTGTGGCTGCATCGCCCAGTTTTCTTGATCTACCACATTCTGATTAGAAAACCATATTCCAGCTAAATGACAGAAAGTGCAGATAAGCTGCAGATGAACTTGTTGCTGAGCAAACAAATAAACAACAAAAAATTTTTGGCAAACAAAACAAAAAAATTTTTTCACACTGTTTTGTTTCTACTGAACGTCTGTGCAATCCAAAGAAGACCCTGCAGATGGTTCAGTGCCAACTTCAGTACGACACCCAGCCAAGAATAATTCTGCGGTTGCCCGACTGATATTTTTAATTTGTTCAGACTAATAGTAATTATGCAAATTAATCGGAGTGGTTTGCTGTCTTGCTGAGGAAGTACCATCACTTACAAAACTTGTTTCACAAAGTTTTTTCTTTTTCCTCTTCTGTTTTAGCAACTTTTTTGAAGTCGCATGTGCACACACTTTTACGTAAAACGAAGTACAGTTTTTGTCCTTCTGTCTTGGGAAAGTCATGTTCTGTTTTTTTTTCTCTCAGCATCACATCATGGGAACGCTCCAGTTCAGTTGCAGTGAGTGTTCAGGGTTATCGTATTGCTGTCAAAGTACATCTCAGACTTTTTCACAGGATCTAAACAAAACACATCAAAGCAGCTCAGCATGTAAAAGGAACACTGTGTGAAAAGGTTATTGCAAATAATACACACTATGACAATACAACACTGTAACACCATACAATTGACTCTCCAAAGGAAAATTAAGTACAGCTATTTTATAATATTGGGTTGAGTTGGAATCAAGATTACATATACACTGTGTATATATATATATATATATATATATAGTCATAAACTGAATAAGATTAAATGGAAGTCAACTGTTAAATGAACTAACTGATTATTTTCAACTCCTTATGGCAGATAGTTGCAGTATGTGTTGAATAAAGCTGGTGTTCTTAGTGCAGCTTTAATTCTTGCTACTTCTTGTCTGAGCCAAATTAGTCTCAAAGTGAGTTTTATTGTGTATTGGACTCCAAGTACTGTTTGAGAATCAAATCCTTCATCAGTGCTAAATTGGAGATAGGACTCAGTATTCTGGAGGCACTCACATGACTGAATGAATGTTCTGCCAGTGTTGATATTTGATATTTTCAGGTTGCAGCACTCTGCAGTGGTGATGTCATACTTTAGCTTACTTTGCAAAGTGAACGGTTTGGAAATATTTGAATATCCCAACAGTGTTAAGTTCTCTGCCCTCATCCATGAATATCTTGCTCCAGTAGTCCATTTCTCATAAGACTGTCCTCATTCTCCAACATCTGCTATAGATCTTGTTAATCCAGGTAACGTACAAGCAAGCAACCAATGTTGATGGCACACAGGTTCAAACCCTGAACCCCTGATCTTCCAGTTCCAAAGTCCTGAGATACAGTATAACCACTGTGCCAACCTCCCAGTAAATCCAAACATGTCCCTGAGACAGTCCAGCACATAATAGCAGGATATAATATGGAGGCAGGCAAAGCATATGTGGAATGCCAAGATGCTGGAATAATATACAGGATCTGTGCCGAGTATGGACTGGAGGTCCCACAGTCAAAGTGGGAGACTCTGCCAAGGATGGTGAATGATAGGGCTCAGATACTGTGGGAGTTCCAGGTCCAGACCAATAAATGGGTGATGGCTGACCAGCCAGACATTGTGGTGGTTGACAGGCTACAGAAGAATGCAGTGGTGATAGATGCAGCAATCCCAAATACCTGTAACAGCAGGAGCACGAGAAGTTGAAGAAACATCAAGAGCTGAAAGAGGAAATACAGAAGTTTAGGAGAGTCAAAGCATCATACAGGAAGAGTGGATCCAACAGATCCCAGGAACAACCTCAGAGATCTTGGTCCAAATGAGTGCAGTCCTAGGAACATATAAGGTACTGTGCAGAACCCTCAAGATCCCAGGCCTCTGGTCCACTGGCTCCCTGTCAAATCCAGAATAGAATTCAAAATCTTACTCCTAACCTACAAAGCTCTCAACAACCTAGCTCCATCTTATATTTGAGATCTTCTTGTTCCATATTTTCCCAACAGAGCACTTCGCACTCAGACTGAAGGCTTACTCGTTGTTGCTAGAGTTTCCAAAAGCAGAGTGGGAGGAAGATCTTTCAGTTATCAGGTTCCTCTCTTGTGGAACCAACTTTCAGTTTCTGTCCATGAGGCTGACACATTGTCCAGTTTTAAGACTGGGCTTAAACGTTCCTTTTTGATAAATCCTACAGTTAAGGTTGACTTCTTATGCTGCCTTAAGCCTTAGACTACTGGAGGACAAATTGACCTCATTTCCTTAAATTAATTGTTAAAATCAAATAATTTTCATTTGATACTACAGTATTTCTATTTTAACATTCTTGACCTGCCATTGTGTATCTGTTCCTCCTTCCTGTTCCTCTCAAACCCAGCTGGTTGAAGCAGATGGCCGCTTGTCCTGAGCCTGGTTCTGCTAAAAGTTTCATCTCATGAGGGAGTTTTTCCTTTCCACTGTCACCTTCATGCTTGCTCAAGATGAGTCTGCGATGGAGTTAAATTCAAATCAGTCTGCTCCTCAGATAAATAGTGTTAACGTTTTATTATTATATATGAATGTTTCTGTTCAGTGCCCTGAGATGACTTCTGTTGTGACTTGGTGCTACATAAATAAAGTGAACTGAAATTGAATTGAATTGATAGACCAGGGTTGGAAGTGAAGTTGAACCACCCATGGAGAACATAGGCCATGCTGTTTTATATACTTTTTCTTAGTCATTCTTGTTAGAATTGATTCTAGAGAACAGGTCTCTCTTGTAAATGAGTCCCCGAGACTCAGTGAGACTAACCTGTATAAATAAAGGTTGAATGAACAAAAATATGGGAATTATTATATCATAATTTGCCTTAAAAAAACATATTTGCTTGGTTTATGCTTTATTTTTAATGTGTTTATTTATTCTTTTTGTGCATGTAAAATGTCTGCAGTTACTTTGGCCCCTAGACAAATTTCAGTCTTTTCTTCCTCGTCTACATGAGCAAGTTTTTCATACAGAAACCCTTTTGACCAATTTTCTGACAAAACATGGCCGTTGGAAAGTGCCCCATAAAGAGTCTGCAGCTGTAAACATAATAAAAACCAGTGTTTTCTAGATTTGTAATCTTACACACCTATATTGGAAAACCTAAAACATAAAAGTAAATAAGTCACGTAGAAATGTCATTATTTCTTTGTTTCACTTTGATAAAAAAAAACAACATACCAGTACTCTATGGTGCTGAATAAAAGTGGAATGTGGTACTTAAGAAATGTCAGACATTTAACTTTGTTATTTAGGTGTTGGCTAAGTCTTTGAAGTTGAGGAATGATGTCAAGAATTCAGGATGTACATATATATTGTTTTCATTGTTTGTTTTTTCCTGCAGGCATCGTTTCTGAACTATTTTTCTAAGTTCATGCAGGAAGTTTTTTTTTTTTTAAATCCACTTAATCCATTACATCTCATGGAGGGAAAACAATCATCATCATGCTCATTAACAACATAACTGCATATAAACATAAAGTTTTCTTTGACTGGTCTGTCAGCCGGTATGCTGGTGTGTGCCTCATCCTATAATCCTTCCTCATACTTAAAATCATTTTAAAGGATACAACTGATAAACTACTTCCTGTAGAAAACTAATTGCAACAAAAGTGTGCGTTTTGCTTAAACACCTCGTTTACTGGAAATGACAGACTTCTCTGCAGCAAAGTCAAACTGCAGGCCCCACCTCTCAGGCCTCTTGTGGTCTTAGCTGAACAGATCTGACATGAGCAGGTCTTTTTTCTACATACAAGTCGAGTACAAATTCACTGTCTGTGCCATTAGTTTGGTTGGGTGATCCTTAGAAGAACAATACCACCATCGTTTGTAAGACGATAAAAACAAGACAAGTGGAGTTTTATTCCAACGGGGCGTATTACTCCAAAACAAACCAGGTGTCTAATAGATCTGATTCAGTAAGGTTTGCGTTTATGTTTGTTTGCTTAAGGTCGGTACTGTCCAGGCAAAGACAGGCCAGATCCGAAAACATGGAAGGCAAATTTCCGCTGTGCCCTGAACTCTCTGCCTGACATCTGTGAGCTGCGGGAGCACAGCCGGAAGAGGGGCACCAATGCCTCCAGGGTCTACAGGATGCTGCCCAGCTCTCAAAAAAGCAGACGTCGAAGAAGTAAGGATCCTACCAGTCTGTGTTTGTCTGCGTCTCTTTCCTGTCCTCTGTAGCTCCAGCCAGTCGAGGGAGATGGCTGCCCATCCTGGTTCTCCTGAAGGTATCTTCCTGGTTAAAGGGAGTTTCTCCTTTCCACCATTGCCACAAGTGGACTTCCTCGAAATTGATTTTCTTTTTTACTAATTGGCATGTTACAATGTATGTGACTTTTTTTGGTGCAGTACTCTATGACATTTGTCATAAATTAGTACTATATAAATAAACTGAACTGGACTGTCCGACAAAGTTAAGTCAGGTCCTCTGGGCGGTTTCTTTGTGTTGAAATGTTTCGTCTTTCATCCAAAGGGCTTCATGAGTTCGAGGAGCCACAACAAACTCAGTCCCACAAGTAGCACACTCACATAGTGGGTTTGATGGTGATAAGATGGTTTCTGGAGTTCGCCCTCTCCCCCGTCAACTCCTCTGAGGCAGCCATGGCCAAAGTGGTTCAAAACATCAAAGTTCATGCTCAGTAATAAAAGTAGAAAATCCAACAACGTTAAATCAGGTCCTCTGGACGGTTTCTTTGTGTTGAAACCACTTTGGCCATGACTGCCTCAGAGGAGTCGACAGGGGAGAGGGCGGACTCCAGAAACCATCTTATCACTATCAAACTGATTGACCCACTACTTTATGTGAGTGTGCTACTTATGGGACTGAGTTTGTTGTGGCTCCTCGGACTGATGAAGTCTTTTGGAGGAAAGACGAAACATTTCAACATAAAGAAACCGTCCAGAGACTTAACTTTGTTGGATTCTTTTTTTTTAACCTGGATTATTGAGCATGAACTTTGATGAACTGGACTGGATCGAAACCTGGACACGCAGGTGTGAAATACGTCCAACACACAGTCAGATGACAGTCCTGCTCTCTGTCCTCCATCAGGCATGCGGCTGTTCAGCAGTCCTCAGGAGAAACACACGAGTTCACAAGAAAGCAGAAATGATGACTTATACACCACACACACCTGGCAACCTACATCACAGCAGATTCCAGACACACACTGTAAGGTGGAAAGTGTTCAGCACACCTTTAACAGCACCGAGATGCATGGTGAGTTTTATATTTCTGAGCTGATTAAGGCTCTCCAGCCACAAAGTGCTGATGGTTTTTGTTGTTTTGTAGAAATGTGGGAGTCCAAACCAGAGGAACAGGAACACACCGAGGTGGTCTATAAGGTACCGTCTTTACTAAAAGCAGTAAACCTTTACGTACTCTGACCAACATCACTAAACCTCTAAGAGAAGAATGAAAAGCTGCTAATTAGGAAATGCAGGCCTACTGATGTGTTTTAAAATTCTGTATTACACGGTCATGCATTAGGCTAATCTGGTGTTTTTCACTCCACAGCTGATTGACCGTTTAAGTGGCACCGACTTGTGGAGCCAAACGTGGGAGCAGAGAGGATGGAGGACACACACTCTGTGGGACCCGTCACATTGTAAGATATTAATTCAGAGTTCACAACACTCCCCAACCTGAACTTTAGTTTAGCATCACACGGAAGACTAAAACTTGGGCCGGAGTCCGTTCAAAAAGGACAGTGCTAACTCTCTGTGCAGTTAAGATAAAGTAACTAAAAACATTTAGATTAAATATTTTCAAAGTACGAATCACCTGAACGTTACCAATACTACTTAAGTTTTTTTTTTTAGCTTTGATATTAAACTTGAAATTCATGTGCAAAAACTGACTTGTGTCAACAGGTTTTATATTTATATCTAGTTATGATCGAAGTCTAAAATAAGTAAATTCAAAGGTTTTAGTTTGCGCAGCTTTTTCTGTAGTTGATCAAACTTAATGGAATGTTAACATTAATAACCTTCTTTTCTGAAAGTTATAGTGTTGTAGTGATTAGATAGATAAAGAAATGTGTGCCCGGTGACAGCAGTGAGCCTTTATTGTCATTGCACTGAAGAAAACTGAAACATATTTGACAACACTCCAGTAGCACCATTATTGTCACAAAAGCTTAAAGCTCTTTTAAAAATGCTAAGCATCATAACAGTCACATATGTAACATCATTAAAATCATTGCAACAATTAAATATATAATTCAAAACATGTTCATAATGCTATAAAGTTACATGAATTAAATTACAAAGAGGATGCATGTTCGGGAGCTATACATTTCTGCAGGCAGGCGGGAAAATAAACTATTCCTCAGTCTGCTTGAGCGGGCGCGGATGGCTCGGCCTGCCTGAGGCGAGAGCGGAGAACAATGCTTGTCCTGGATGATTTGGTCCCTAGATGTTCCTTGCACGTCTCTGCAGCCACATCGAGTCTCCTCTAATCTTGAAAGAGGAGATTTGATGATCCACCGCTAACTTAATGACCCACTGCATATTCTTCCTGGCTGCAGCTGGAACACCTCACGGTGCAGCAGGAGGTCAGAGTGAACATGGTGCAGCCGTCTAATTTGAATGTTATCCTTCCCAGGTGCTGTCGATGAAAACCCATACTCTCTACATACTGACAGCTACAGTGACCCGTTTGGTCCAACCTACACCAAAGATCTCACCGACTGGTCCACACATCAGCAACCACTGATGCCATAGTTGTAGCAAAACTTGATTTCAGAGTCAGAGAGTCAGAGTCAGAGTTTCTTTATTGTCATTCGCACCTCATGTGGTACTTGTGGTGGAGCGAAATTATGTACACAGGGTCCCAGTTACATCCAACAATAAAATGTCTAAGAAAAACAGTAATAACATCTAAGATATGAACTAAGAAAAACATCAACTAAATATACACTAAGCACTCATAACATAAAACATTGAACATCAGCACAAACATGAACATGAGTCTGTGAGCAGATGTGCACGCATGAACACATCAACATCATCAACATTTCCCCTTTGTTTTAATATTTATCACTTGTTTTGTTGAAGACTGGTTCTTGTTGAAACCCTGTTGTGCTTCTGCTGAGCTGACTGCCTGAAGGACAGAAATAAGAGAAGAGCCAGGCAGGCTGGAGAATATTGCTCCGTCAGTCGGCCTCTGTGCTGAGAAGGCTGCTATGAGGATCTGGTTCCAAGCCAAGCTTTCCTGCTGCTGTCATTACCGCTGCACTGTGGCTCAGTGACTCAAACTCATGGAAACGACACCACGCTCATGCTGCAGAGTTAACAGATATCATTTGGCCTCGGAGCAGGACTGAGCTCTTCCTTTTGTTTGGCTTGGTCTTTATGTTTAGAGAAGTTACAACAAATTAAACGCATTAAAAAATATGTAATTGTCTGCAAACTACTGTTTTTGAGCAACGTGCAAACGTTACATTCTCTTTTTAAGCTCACAGAAAGCTAAGGCTTACCGTCTCGATAGAACAAAAATGCACAAATCCTTTGTTTTTGCATCTTTCTTAGTTGGTCAAATGATGTTTTAGTTCTGTTTTTATCCCTGTGACAGTTTAGAGCAAATTTCTCCTTTTTGTTGTATTAAAATATTACAATTTTCCATACCCATTGTGAAAGGTTATTGCATCCATTAAGTTTATTGTAAAAAAAATAAACTTCTGGATATTTTTCACACTCCAGTTCATTGCACATGTATTTAGTTTGTGCGAACCCGTTATGGTTCTGTGGCAGCGAGTGTAAAACGACTCCTCTCATGGTTCATTTGTTTTGGATTCCCAAATAATAGACACCTACACCACAGAGAGCACTTATAATCAGCAGCCATCCACTGTCAGGTCTGCATTTAGTGGCTGTGATGGACAATCACACGTCAGTCTCCTTTAATGTTCATATCCACTCTCCCTCATTTCATTTTAGTGACAGGGAAAACAACCGACACAGATACTCCATTTTTTTTCCCTACACAACTTTGAATTACTTTAATTTGTAGGTTGCTTTTTTTGCATAGTGGAATTATTAACACTAGAAACTGAACAAGATAAACATATTCTATGTATAGTTCAGTCTATATGTAAAGCATAAGAATCATTTACTACACAGACGTTTTGGCTGATTCACTGTAAATTTTAGAGATTACAGTTGTTTTAGTCAGAAATCCACTGAAATGGTGGCCTCATTGATTAGCTGTTAACTTTTCTCCACATTAGAGAACTTGTCTGATATTCCAACAGACTTGTTAGAACCCCACTTCCAAACTACATCTTCACTCTTCATACCAGGGCTATTCAACTAAATTGGTCAGGGGGCCACAGTTACTGAAAGCCATGAGCTCAGGGACAGGACATCCAGCAGTTAGTCACTAATTAAGTTTGTTTTATAGTTTGAATTAGTTTTATTTAAAAATGAACCCACTGGTGGGCCGAACGGAGCTCATCCGTGTGCCTGATTTGGCCCCTGGGCCGCCAGTTGAATAGCCCTGCTTTATAAAATCACACAGGATCAACTTTGAAGTATGAGAAAACACAGTACAATGCAGTTGTCAGACAACATATAACATTTATTTATTTACTCTGAAAATGCAGAAAACCCAAATGAGCTTCCCTTTAAAGTGGGAACTTATCTTGAGGGGAGGGATAGAACAAAAAAAGTGCCAACTCTACTTTCCCTGTAAGGTTATACAGACAAGTAAGCAAAAAAGGCATGAGTCTGAATACAGCATGGATTCATTGTTTACAACACATTACAGCGTCGTCATAAAATAAACCCTGACACGTCTCCTTAAATAATTTGTCACATTCAATCACTAGCACACCCTGCTGGTCACACAGTATACTGCAACGACTACATCCTACAGGATTTAGGTCAAAGATGGACAACAGAGGTACAGTATACTGGATCTGAGTTGAGACAGGAGCAGTAGAAAACAGATCGATGTGACAAAAGCTGAAGAGCCGTTACTCAGCATCATTTTATTAAACATGTCAATCAATAAATGGGCAATGCAGGAAAGTTAAGGCTGTGAACAAAAACCTAAAACATGACAAGGTGTTTTCTGAGGCTCAGTACCAACATCAAATAATTTTTTTGTACCATAAATATATGTATTTTTAGCATGCTGCACTTATTACATTCAACACATTTTGTTGTGTGGAAATATTAAATCTTAAAATGTGCACAGATGACACACAATCACATCCATGGAACAGATTCTAGGTCTGCTGTTATTATTATTTTTTACTCTGATTTAGATTCGGAACAAATGCTGGTTTACAAGTTTGAACAAAAAAAAAAAATTCATAAAAATATGTATGTCAACAATAAGATGAAAGTCCCAGCCTGATCACTGACATAAATGACAACCAGCTTCATTTATTTACTGTTCCCCCGATTGAGGAATTATTCTTTGTGCTTGAAGAGAAAAAACAAAGTACACAAGCAAGACGACAACAGGGGGATAAATTTGTGCCCGCAAGTCTAGAGAGTAATACTTTCTGTAATTGTGACAAAGTGGTCACATCACATGAATCCATCGTTTAAACTACAGCAACATTATTACAATCACTTCTACAAAGATGGGTCTAATTAAATAAACATCATTTAGCCTCTGGCAAGTGTAAGAGTCGTGGCAGTTCAACTACCACAAACTGGAAGAGAGCAAAACGATCACTGCTATAACTGAGCAAACACAGGTCGAACAACTGAAACTGGAAGATGTGCTGGTGGAAGATACAATCATGCACAAACCAGCTGGTGAACATGTCTGTGTATTCTACTAACTGTATCAAGTCTTGCCCATCTTTGAAGAAGAGTTTGCACTTGTGATCTGGTCAACGGTGCACAAGCCGTCAAACAAAAGAAAATGCATTTAAAAAAAAAAAACAGGAGTGTTTTATAAAAAGCTACGCTGTGAACTTGCAGCATTACGCTTCTAACCTGCACAAGTAAAACAAATAATCACTACTTCAGAAGGCAAACGAGGAAGTTCATAGTTTCATAAAATTATATATGGTTTGATCCGAGTAAGATTAAAACAAAAACACAACCTGCTGAATTATGAGAAATTCCTATGCCAAGTGAGAGCGTACCATGTTTGGTCCAGTGTATTCACTCATTTCAAGTTTCTTAAAAAAAAACAGCATTCTTCAACCCTGAATGCAACTAAGAGAATCGTGCTAAATTCTCAGAATAGGATTTATTGTTGCATTGCTACCGTTACCTGTTATTTAATCAACCTCTGAGAATAAAGGAGAAAACTAAATGTTCCACAAGTCTAGTATGGCCCAGCCACCATGAGGTCAGCTAACAAATCAAACATAAATTACAGGCGTCCAACAGGCTACTACAGTAAATATTTTTGAAAACGTTTTCCTCTTGCATACACACAAGCATACATTTGACTGAGATCAGGAGCTCTCTAAACCCTCTTATCTATTCTTTACAGTGCAACAATATGGCAGCAAATGTATAGCAGTGCTTTCATTAAAAAAAGACAGAAAGGATGAAAAATAAAAATATATACAACAAAATGGAAAAAGCAGTAGTTTCATATTTTGGTCCTGTGTCCTTTACAGACAGAACTGCTTTTTCTTTTCTTCCCAAAATTCTTCCTCATATGAACAGTAGTTTTCACATAACCGAAGAGCTGTGGAAGAAAAACAACAACAAATGTTAGTATTCTTAGTACTACAAACTTAAAATGTGTACATTCAACCCCAGTCAGACACTTTTTTTTATTTTTTTCCCCCCCAAATTGTGTCTTATTTAATTTCACTTCTTTTAAAGCAGACACTAGTTTGAAGAGCTGCCCCACAAAATGATGCTTTTGTTTTCAAGCATGTTTGAGATTAGATCAGCCCCCCCCAACTCTTGCAGGGTCTTAAAATAACAAGACGTAGTAGAAACCATGGCAACAATTTGAGGGAGTTTTAAAACAACAAACATCGTCAGTGAGAAGTAATGAGAAGCTTGAAGACAACAAAAAGTCATGACCTAAACATAATCAAGCCAAGGAAGTACAATAGATATTAAACTAACATATTTTACTAGCAGTTAGACTGTATCATGATAATCTGAAGTTATCAGCAAAACAAAGCTTACCAATCACAAATCTATCTTTCCTTGACACTGGGGCAACATTCCCCTCAGTAAAACATGACCATAAACAGCAAAAGTATGCACGAGTTTCCTCTCAAAGCCACACAACCACCAGCTCACTGCAGTATGAAAGAATGGTTTGTCAGCATTTGTTTTACCACATCACGGGCACAGACACAGACTTTTATTTATACATGTTGTGTTGTCAATCCAAAACTGTTTTTTATCATCCCCGAAAGAGTTAAAGCTAGCTGCCAGAGGCAAAACTTTCCTAAAGCCAATGTGGAACTTACGATTTTAAGATAGTAATTTAGTAAACAGTATGACAGAAAAGACGAACAACACGCTTTCCTTAGAAATAAACTTAAATACTGCACGTTGTTCACGGTCCTTTTCAGCACTGCACTGTTTTGATAAAGTACTGTATGCTTGCAGTTGTCCCACACTTGTGGTATGTGCTAATTTTGAAAGAAGTCAATCCATATTTTTTCCGTAACCAAAAAATAATAATGAGTTCAACCTTTACAAACAGTTGTATCTAAAGTGGGCCAGAATAGCTTTAAAGGGCTATTTTGGACATTTAGAAGTGAGTTCTGTGGAAAAGTTGTTGTTGTTGATAGCTCTTTGGAGAAATACGAAGTTTAAATTGACAGGACTAACCATCTTACATCTAGTCTGACACAGACTCATGGATTAAAGCAGAAAAAAACATTTTGACTGAAAATCTTTCTGCACCTAGAGGTTACCCACTAAGACTTTAACCTGCACTATCAAGACCAACAACATTCTGAAGGAAGAGAGGAGTTTTAACACATTTTCTGTAGTTTATTTTTATGTCATTTCAGTGTTTTCCAATTGAGGGATCATCACATATATTTTAAGAAATTATAGCACAGAAAGTCTTTTGAAGAGAATAAATTAACTTCATTTTTTTGTGCAGATTTCTCCCCTAAAACTATTATTTCATTCAAAGGGATTATATTTGCAGGACTTCAGATCATGCAGTAATTAAGATTTTTCATATTTGATTATGTATTAAATTACAGATATCACAGTGCAGTTACCTCTCAGTGATTCTAAATAAATCAAGTTGAGCTCATCCAAACAGTCACAACACCTTGTTGTTGTTAAAACACTGTGTAGAATTTAACTTTTTTTTAAAGGTATTTACGATAAATTACGAACACCTGAAACTGGCTCTCACAGAAAGAACTTTGTGAGTGGGGCAGGGGGAGAATTAAAGTTAAACAGACAAACATCTCTGCTATAATTTGGGGCATAAATATTCGTCTTTTAGCCTCGATATTTATTTAGAAATACTAAAGCAGCAGAAACAGCCTCTCTCTGTGAGAGAAACCCAACAGGCTGCGCGCTCCCGCGGTGGTGCACGTCTCTTTATGACCTGGAGTTCGGTCACGTGCGCAGGCTGCACGTTTGTACAACGATGACGACGCTCCGAATGAATCAACATTTAATACAAAGTTAGATTTTAGATACAAAAGTCCCAGGAGGTCAGGGAGCAGTGTGGGAGGAGGGGGTACCTCTGCATCAGTCCTGGCATCTCCCCCGGCTGTACTGAATTGGTCACGTTTAATAATTTATTACGTCATCCCCTTCATGAAGAGGCGGGCGGCTCTGTTAGGCGGGTGTCCTCCTTGGCTTGCTGCAGGTGAGCTTTCACCTGCAGTTTCTCTCTGCTGCTCACACCCAGGCTCACTGTAAACCAGACAGCCGACCCGTCCTGCTCTGACTGGGTCAAACTGTGGCTCTGGTTCGCTTTACTGGTTGAAAGCAGCTTCAGTTTAATTCCTGTATCGTTAGATTGGCTGGCTTTAACAAGACCATGTCAAAACAAGTTTTTTTCCCCTCCTCACAGATGATGGAAACACGTCCTGGCCACATTCAACGTGACAGAAATGTACTGTGGCGAAAGAGAACTTTAATCCATGCAACCTAGCCCAGGGGTGTCCGATCCTGGTCCTTGAGGACCACCCCTGCATGTTTTACTTGATTCCCTGCTCCAACACACCTGATTCAGTGGTTGAATTACCTCTTCAGGTTCTTCAGAAGCCTGTTAATAACTATTGATTTAAATCAGGTGTTTTGGAGCAAAAAAACATCTGAAACATGCAGGATAGGGGCCCTTGAGGTCCAGGATTGGACACCCCTGGCCTAGATCAAAGTAGATTGCTGAAGTCCTACTAAATGAATACATTACAGCAAAGACTGGTACATCGTAAACATCTAGTGCCCCGGCACAAACAGAGTAATGTTGTGTATGATGTTCAGTGTCAGGAGGACTGTGATCAGTTCTACATCGAGGAAACTAAACAGCCACTGGCCAAAAGGATGGACCAGTACAGAAGATCAACATCATCAGACCAGGACTCTGCGGTCTACACTCATCTCCAGGTGGAGGTCTTCATGTTCAACTGTCCCCTTCTTACAATGTTATTGCATCACTCAACCATCTGAATAGCAAGCGGCCAGCGGGGCACTAACAAGGCTGATGGTCCTCCATTTGCATGTGAACAACTAGTTTTGGCTGTCACCAGCAAACTGGTTGATCCACTATAAAGTTGCACTGAGGCCTAAAAAATCCGGCCCGGCTCGAATCTGTATCATTTTTCCGAGCCCGACCTGAAATCGACGGATTAACTGTAATTTAAGGCCTGAACCTCCACAGAAAAACTGACTTTTTTTTTAAATTAAGCCTTTACTGTTATTGTAAGCAAATCAGTTTGACATGATATTTTAAAAACATATTTCAAAGAAAGGAAGATTTCTTGTTTCACCAAATGGATATTAACATACAAAACAAACAGCCTAAAAATCAACTCTAAAGACAGGCTATTATACAGATGAACTAAAATATTTTTAGAGCAAAATTATTTGGAAAAATATAGAAGAAGGCTATTTTAATTGAACGTGCTGCTCGTTTCAGCTTTTGTAGCTTCAGATGCTGAAACTTCTTTCACTGCAGATGACAGCAGGTGTGGAGACCCACTCGGCCGGTGATCAGCTGATCCATCTGAGCTCAACTGGACTTTTTTTTTTTAAACCAGCCGGTCAAACCTGCCTCCTCCTCAAAAGGTAGATTAACATAATTTTATATTGTGCATTTTTATTTGGTTTTCTTTGTGCTGTATGATTCGTAAAACCACATCAAAGCCTGAGACCAGCCTGGCCTGCACATTAAGCACATTATTATGGTCCGGCCCGAATTCAGATCAGGCCAGGCTTCGGGCCCGGGTTAGAAACGAAATCTCTAACCCACTATGAGAAGGGGCTATTTATAAGACTGAGTTTGTTTCAGCTCCTTAGACTGAATAAGTTTTTTGGATAAAAGATGAAACGTTTCAACAAAGAAGAATCCGTCCAGAGGACCTGACTCAACCTGTTACATTTATGCACAAACTATCCCTTTACGGCAGAAAAAACTGGCTTGTTAGCTATCAGTTACTCTAAAGAATTGCTCCATTTTTCTCACCTCGTTACAACTGAGAGCCTTCTGAACCTCCGTGTGAGTAGCCTCCTTTAGATTTCATCTGAGCCTGAACAAGGTCCACCTGCAAAAGGATGCAAACGTTTAAATTAATAAAAAGACTAAATTTCTACATTCAGATGCTTGAAATTTTTGAAGAGGATGAAAACCTACTGCTGCTAATCCCATGTCCCCAGAGCCTACATGTGTGGTGTGAACAAAGTTTGTTGGCTCCCCGATCATGGAGCGGTCAATTCGTCGCCGCCGTTTCTAAAAGATAAAATGAATCGAATAAAAAAGAAAACACACTTTTTAAATTGCTACATTTACAGTGATCTAATAATCACTTCAGAAGCAAAAAAAAA